GTCAATGTGCCATTATAATACAAATGATTAAATAATATCTATAATATATAAAAAAAAACAAAAACAGATATGTTGAAGATATACAAAAGTTAATAAGTCTTATATATACTTTACTAACTCAATTTTAAAATAATAATTTGTTATAAAAATTTAGATAATAATATGATTTAAATACGAGCTTGTCATCTGAATTGACTAATACTAAAGATATAAATCTTATTGTTAAAGTTGAATATATTTTTCGGAAGTAATAATAAAAGTACAAGAAATTAGGAATAAATCTCTCGAAGGGGAAAACTGTTAAATTTGCAACAAAATTTTACATCGTCGTCTTTCACTAGATGACTAAAGCTAATATTTTATAAGAACGTAGATATTTGAGAATCGCCAAGACAGAATTTAAAAACGGTAAAATCTTCTCTCGACCGTACTGGCAAATATTATTTATTCAATCACAACGTTTCGACCCTTCTTTGAGTCCTTATCAAGTGATCTAGATATACATAGACAGAGATTAATACAATAAAAAAAAACAAATTACTTCACTAACAATATTACAAAATGATAAAAAGAAAAAGAAGCGAAACATACTTTTTTACGCTCCTGCACTTGGATATGGAGCCCACACAAATGGAAGGATTTTTTGCATGATCTCGAGAAGATTCGGTACGTATCATACAACACTTTTGAAAACTTGGATTAATAATATGAAAAGATTATTGCTGTGAACCAACAACTAATTTTTCTGTTATGATGTAGAAGGCCAGATATTCTTCCTTCTCATATTATTAATCTTAAAACAAACATACTATTTAAAAGCAGTAGTACAAAACGCAAAATGGAGAAGATTACTAATAGATATTGTTATAAATTACTAAAATTGGAAATAAAAAACGCGAATTTTAATTTAAAATACTTGCGCCGCAACACTACAACAGCGATAGTTGAGAACTCTTTACATGTCTGCCACATAATCTTGTTCAAGAGTTTCTTAAGTTAAATGAAAAGAAACTTTTCAAATTTAAACTCTCTCATAAAAATAAGTCTATCAGTAAATTTGACAAATTGTGCACTAAGAAAAACGCATTTTCTGACTTGTTCAAAACATTGACAATTCTAAGTGGTTGGTGAACATTAGTGGTAAAAATATTCCGGATAAGGTATCTGATTTTTTAAGCTTGGGTGACAAATTTGGTTTGCCGATAGATCACGCAAATAGTAAGATCGAATGAATATCGTCCTGGAGACATAAAGAATTTAGAGATTAATCACAGGAACATCCCGAGTGACGTATTGGAAACCACCAGAATTTCAGTAGCTGATTCTCTCAAAAGGTTTTTATGTGAAAATAAATACATTTCTTCTTTTTTAACAGATACATCTTACAAGGTTTTTCGCTCTGTAAAAATTTCTACGGGATAATGAAGATATTTTAGTCACCAAGGCTGATAAGAGTCAGATCACCATGGTAATGAGTAAAAATGATTATTTGGAGAAAATGGAATCGTTATTGAATGACGAATCCACTTACAAAAAACTAAAGAAAAATCCGAACAAACAACTAACTACAAAGACCAACGCCTTAATAAAATCTGGCGAGATAACGATTTGATTGACGATTCCACATATAAGTCTTTAAATATCACTAATGGTAATTTACTACGGTGTTATGGTCTGCCAAAGGTTTACAAAAAAGAATTTCCTCTACGCATCATTGTATCTTCATTAGGTAGTCCAGTATATAATGTTGCTAAATATATTCATAATATTTTACATAGTTCTATTTTGTTACCGAAATCTTACGTTAAGGACGGCTGGACATTTTCCGCAAATCTAAAAGATACAATCATTGACGACAATAATACTTTGATTTCTTTAGATGTGACCGCCCCATACACTAATATTCCAAAAGAATTGGTTTTACGCGCTATTGAGAAACGATGGAGTGACATTTCTCAAAACACGAATTTCAGTCGTGCTCAGTTCTTATATGCCGTCGAATTTATTTTAGATTCTACTAGTTTTAGCTTTAATTAACAATATTATGAACAAATCTTTGGCAGTCCCATGGGATCTCTCTCTCACCCATCTTGGCAGACATGGTGATGGATGATCTCGAAACACATTGTTTAAGTCAACTTAGTTTCAATGTTCCGACTTATTATAGATACGTTGACGATATTTTCGCTATTATTCCAAAGACAAAAATCCACGAAATAATTAATACTTTTAATAATTATTATCACCACCGTTTAACCTTTACTTATGAGACGGAATCAGACAGATGCATTAATTTTTTGAATACAACCCAGCAGACACCGATATATAATTGTTACATTGCTATAATAAAACGGAATATAACAGGTAATATAACGTGTACGTTACATGTAACATTCATGTTAGTTGTAATTTCCTACTCATAGATGTAACATTTTAATATAACATATATTACATTGTAGTTATATTGTAATTATATACCAAATAGCACATTGATGTATTGATAAGTCAGTGCTATCTTGGGATATAATGACAATATAACTACAATGTAATATATGTAATATTAAAAATGTTACATCTATGAGTAGGAAATTACAACTAACATATACGTTACATGTAACATGCTTAAGTATATAACATTTATATACTGTGTTTGCTGGGAACGATCTCTCGGTCAAATGGAAAGCTTGTAACAAATTGGTACAAAAAGGAAACGTGTTCGAACAAATATATAAATTTCTTTTCCAATCACCCTTTTAAATATAAAATAAACACAATTTTTAATCTTGTAGATCACGCGATTCTCTTATCTAATGACCAGTTTCACGACGAGAATATTAATATCGTGAAACAGATTTTATTTAATAACTGCTTTCCTAAACATGTAATCGATCGTTGGGTTAATAGAAGGATTAATTTTTTAAAACACAGAAACATGAATGAATCGAGTAATGAGCGAAGTATTGTTGATAAGTCTCCTTTTATTTCATTACCTTATGTTAATAGCTTAGGCGATATTGATTGAATTTTTAAAAATATCGGATTCAATGTTGTTTATAATGTTCCTAAAAAACCGAATCATTTAATTACACTCGGCAAGAATAGACTGCCTACAGATAAAAAAACTGAAGTAGTTTACAAAATTAATTGTAAGGATTGCAACGTGTCATACATTGGACAAACAAAGAGACATCTTTGTACACGTGTAAAGGAACATTTTAGCAACATTAAAATGCATTCGAGTAATTTATTAGTTATTAGCAAACATAAAATTGTGAATTCGATCACGATTTTGACTGGATTTCGCCTGTTATTTTGCATAGTAAAAACACGTAAGAAAAAGAGAAATCGCTGAAATGTTTTTTATTAAGAAAAATAATAACGCTATTAATTTATAAAAAGATACCGACAATCTAAATAATATCTACGACAAAATAATAAAGGTCGTTTAGTCTCCAATAACTCGTCTAAGAGTTTTGACGTGTTGTCAAACCGACACTATGTTCATTCTTGACATCTTAAAATTATAATTTTATTTTTATTTTTACAAGTATATTTCGCTTCTTTTTATCATTTTGTAATATTGTTAGTGAAGTAATTTTGTTTTTTATTGTATTAATCTCTGTCTATGTATATCTAGATCACTTGATAAGAACTCAAAGAAGGGGTCGAAACGTTGTGATTGAATAAATAATATTTACCAGTACGGTCGAGAGAAGATTCTTACCTTTTTTATATACATATATATATATATATATATATATATATATGTGGGATCCGCGAAAAAGAATCGGGCCTTCGGGTGACTAGACCGGGACTCGAACCCGGAACCTTCCGCTTGCCGGGCGACTGCTCTAACCATTAAGCTACCTAGGCCCTCTGCCTAACCTTCTCGCATCACCCACTTACGCGTTATGGAGGAGTCCCGATACTACATATATACAATATGTGTGTGTGTGTGTGTGTGTGTGTAAACGTATTTATTGTTAGATTAATTTACGAAAAATCTTAAAAACTAGTCAATATGTAATTCAAAATAAATAGATAGTGCATTTATCATTCAATATATATATATATATATATATATATATATATATTGTAAATATATTATTTATATTTATATACATTTATATTTTTTATTTTACATTTAACAAAAAATTTATAGTAATATTATATGGTCTACTTTCTTGTGAACACAGGCAATAATATAGTTCAAAAACTTGATGCTTTCAGTCATAAAGATTTGTAAATACACAGAAGCATCGAATATAATAATACATTTAAATAAACAATAATAATTAAAGCAGTAAAGTAAATAGTACATACAATATAAAAAAATTATTCATATGAAATATATTCACGCATACAAAGTTGCAATTTTTATATTTGTCACTAAGAGAAAAATCTATCAAAATACTGTTTCTGTCTTTCGATTTGTTTGTTGCGAATTGATAGCTTGCATCGAATTTTGCAAAAATTCTCCAATATGATCTAATATATATAAACAAAGATTTGTACACAATAAAATCAATATACTCTTTATATAATCAACAAAACAAATATAAAATTAGTATTCAGAAATTAATAAGATAGAACAATATTTTCTTTTTCTTTTACTTTCCATAATAATATTTATTAAATTTACCTTTTCTATTTGAGAACTGTTAAATAAATCTTTTGCGTTAGTCATTCTTTCAACTAACTTTGTTAGGGCCTCCAACCTTTCAACGTATTCGTTTATATGCTAAAATGTTTTATTTTTTTTCATTATTAAAATGTAACGTTTTTGTAGCATTATTAAAATTATTTTAAACATTAAATAATAATTATTAATATCACATTATTATCACATTTTGTACACATATATAAACATGTAAAATTTTTACCCGAATTTGATTTTTAGAATATATGTTATTAATAATAATAATTAAAGCTGCAGTTGTATCAACTTGTCTAAAAATAAAAACAAATGTGCATAATACACATAATAAACTTTTGTACACAATATTTATAAAAATATGTCACATTACTCTGGTTTTATGTCGTTAAAATAATCTAATATGTACTCCAGTATAATTTGATTCTTCGCATGCTTTGTAATAATATGTAAAAACCGTTAAAAAGATATTGATATTCCTGTTCTGTAGAATTGTTTATATAATTTAAATAATCAATGATGACACCAGTATCTTCAGGGCAAGCCAAGTATTCTAAAAATTTAGTGTCAGATTTTTCCAATCCTATATTATACACTAATTGCCAAGATGTCTCTTCTTTGGTAGTTATCATCAAACCTTTACAATATGTCCATTCCTTCCACCATGGCAAAAGTCTAAAATATAACAAAAATTATATTTTCTTATTAAGGATCAAATTATTTAAACATTTTAGGCGATATACCTGCAGAAGAATTTGATTAAAAAAGGCTAAAAATATGTAACAATATTTACTTGTGTTTTGTAGGATCTTGGAGATGTTGTTTTAATTTTTTGTTGGCTTCTTTCTTACAATTGATGTCACCGAAAAACATGCCCATCTTGCAGCTTCTTGTCGTAAACATATTCTAAGTTTGTCACTATCATCAATTTCTTCATATTTGATTTTTCAAGTATACTGTTTACCGTCAACTTTATGTTATTCTAAAATCGTTAAATATATATTTCTTTTGTTCTTATTATAAATGTATAAAAAATTATTATATTTTTCTATTATTTTCCAATAGATTCTTAAAATTTTCTTTTTCTATGAAACAAACATACATATAAATTCATTTCCCAGCTAACCATTTCTGCTGAGGCAAATGTAGGCAACAATTTTTGTTTGTAAAAGGCCGCAAATGAGAAACATATTTTGTTATTGCAAACATTATACAAATAAGCATAAATTCAGAAAATATTTCAGTGATTCAACATCAGTTCGAAGACTATATTGACAAAGTGGCAACGAGTAACAAGCAGAATCTGTCGAAATTGTTGATAAAAATTGGTGCCAAAAACGCAGCAGATCCTGCAGATCTGTCGAAATGTTAAATTGACAACAAAAAGTACACAGATATTTCAAAAATAGTTAAAAAGATTATATACGTTTTTCTAAATATGATTTAAATAACAAAAATATACATTTATTCATTATAATAGATTATTTTTACTTTTTCAATTATTATAAATTAATGAATGTTTTTAAAAAACCAAATTAGGCAGGAATCTATTGACCAACACCGGCTAAGTTTAAATTTTTATTAGAAAAGAAACGACGTTTCGACCATCAATTAGGTTCTCTTCAGGCTATTGAATTAAAATACATATTCCAATCAACGAATGATCAGGTAACTGTTAGTTGTAACACAGCAGAAATGACATTCTTAAAAGTGAAAAAGAGAGAACCGATAGTTCGCACTGACATATAAATTGACACTGTAACAACATCGACAGTCCTTCGCAAATAATGATTAAATAAAAATTTAACTGGCGATCATATCACGTTATACTTGTGAATGTTTTTTATTTGCTAATTTCTTTTTACTTAATTATTTTTCTCCGATTTATTGAGCATTTGGCGTAAATCTGTTTTCAGTTTGCGATTGACAAATCTGTTCTTAGTTTATTGCGTCAATCTGTCGTCACACTATTAGTGACAGATCTGTTCTGGCGTTACACCCAACTTGATGTTAGGATATGCTTTCAACTTTTATGATTGCAATAGGACGCACTTGAAGACGCAGTGGACCTTGGATTTGCAGCCGTATTTGGCAGAAGAATGTTTCCCAATTGCTAACAATTATCAAGCAAATGGTTAACTGGATTATAGACGCTAACTAATCTATTTACATACATATGTAAATGCAAATATACATATATATGTATTGTACGTGTACGCAAAAATATGGTTTAATTTGTGCAAAGTGTCTATAATATTTATTAAATATTAAAATTTCATAACTATTTGTTAATCATATTTTGTTTTGAAATAACCCGGGGAAAAAGTTCATGTATAATTATATATATAAATGTATATAAATATATATAAATATATATAAATATATATAAATATATATAAATATATATAAATATATATAATTTATATATAAATATATATAATTGTAAAAATTATATGTAAATATATATAATCTCATATACGATTATATATGATAATATATAACATCATATATGATATATATAACTATGTATATAATTATATACAAATATATTTGATTATATATAAATATAATGTTATATTCAATTATATAAAATTATATGTAAATATATATAATTTCATATACAGTTATATATGACAATATATAACTTCATACAAGATTACATAGAACTATATATCATGATTACAGAAAATTTGTCCATATATAATTATATGCAAATATTTGATTGTATATAATCATCTGTATAAAATTATATGTAATTATATAAAACTATATGTATATAAAAATTTTCTCTCTTTATATAAAATCAAGTATATAAAATCAAATATAATTTTAATCTAACGGGAAAATTTTAGTTTGTATATGAGTCATTCTACATCAATCGCGGACCACCTTTCTGCCGAGAAACGATTACAATTTAAACATTTTTTTGAGAGTGCAAAAGAGTGATGGCAAAAAGATCTGTTTTTTTCGCCCATTTTATAGAGTCGAATTTTGGGACCTCTTTCAAACTTTTTTATACCAAATAGTACTATATGATGAGACATTAATCCCAGAGAAATTTTAAGATGAGCATAGGCATGGTTTCTTAGATATGAAGAAGTGAAAGTGATAATTTCTAATAAAACTGACTAAAAATCATCACTTTCTCCTTTGTATCTCCGGAACCATGCTTATATACATCTTGAAATTTTACTGGGATTAATGTTTTATCTAATAGTAGTGAAATTCGAGGTCTCAATAATGGGCGAAATTTGCCATCACTTTTTGCTAAAAAATATAATCTTTTAAATGCCGTGTGCTAAAAATTACGATACATAATGGCGGATCCAACATAAAAATCACCTCGAAATTTTTAATGAACTCGATCAATTTTTATTACATATTCGTGTAGCTTACCTCGAGAGATTTTCAAAACTGTAATACGTACTTTTTATTTAGTTTTTTAAAAATTATACTTGAAGTTTATAGTATTTTGACATAAAGTATGAAATATATTTTGTGAAACTTTCAATTTTCAGTAATCTTACTTTAATACTTTTATGTATAAAATAATGAGACTAATTAATTGGTGTAAAGAAAAACACATAATTGCTTTAAAAAATATATGTTGCTAATTATTTTTATGCCGTCATTATGTATTTTAATTTTTAGCACACGGCATTCAAAAGATTATATTTTTTCAAGGTGCAAGATTTATTAAAAATATAATCTTAAAAGAAAAGTTTTTAAATTGTAATTTGTTCTGGGCAAGGAAGTGACTGGATTGACGTGGAATGACTCATATATATTTATATATTTGATTATATATAAATATATATATGTATACATTATCATGTTATGATGTACGATTAACTTTGATAGCTGACAACATTCTCATAGTAATAACGTATATAAAATTATGCATTAGAAAAAACTACAGAAAATTATTAAGAATTAATAATAACATAGAGCTCAATTAAAAAGTGAAGTTCTTGTCCGATCATTAAAGATAAGCATGTCAATACTTTAGATGGGTGACCGTTTGGGAGTATTATTATATTGTATAATTATTGTATATATATTTATATATAATCATATATATTTATATATGGGCATATTTCATGTATATTTATATATATAGCTTTATATATATTTATATATGTTAATATATGGATTTTTTTCCCGGGAAAGTATAAAATATGTATATCTTTTCAAAATGTTTCATTAAATTTTTTCAACTATATATATGTTTTATTTTTTTAAATACTAATTACTAACAGTGATATTGATATTAAACCAATATTATTGCATTCATCGACAAAGATTTTAAGCAACTTGCTATATATCCAATAACAATGTTATATACCAATAATATTGGCAGTAGTGAAAATCATAGACTTTTTGGACAGTTCTTTGGGTAAGTAATTATTCAAACTGAATTTGTTTACACATTTGCGACGTAATAGTATATATAAAATTATATTGTTGTCGAATATATTTTTCTAAGTATTTAAATTATTTGTGATCAATGAGTGCGTACATGCAAATATTTAAAATGTAATATTTTTATTGAAATTTACTAATATTTACCATAATATCTTTTTTCCCTGGAAAAGTACAATACATGTATTCCAGAGCTTTGAACAGAGGATACCATGCTATATAATCTTCTTCATGTTGCAAATACCATATGATATTCCAGAATATATTGGATTTGAGTTTGCCTGCTATCATTAAATGAAATCCATCATCGATAATTTGGGCACGATTAAGAACATGAATTTTATTGTACTGAGAACGACTAGAGCGTAGATAATGTTGAATTCTTTTCCAATTTTCACCGTCATAATTAACGCGATAATATCCTGTCGAATAGTAAATAAATTTTATCAATTTTTGTTTTGAATAATTTTATCATTGTACTTATTTTCAAACTTATTTCAATTTTTAATTACATACTGTTGTTTATATAAATTATAAATTAAAAACATATCAAAAATTTAATACATATTAATAAAATGCAAATACATATAGAAAATTAATTATAAAATGTCATCTTAATACTTGAAATAGCGTAGCGAACATGAAATTGTGCAAGATATTGTTGTATATCAGAAAATAAAATTGAGTCTAGTTGTACATAAATAATGATTATTTTATGCTAACCAATATAATCTCTGTAATACGTAACGTTACGAAAATTGTATGTTAACTGCATTTATTATTATTAATTTTATAAATATAATTATATCTTTTTAATGATTTTTACTATTATTAGAATACAATATTTGTAAAAATATAACATTAATATTGAACGATATTATTCAGAAAACGCCTACGTAATATCTTATACATATAATAATATATAATATTATATATATATGTATATACAATAATGCAGAATATTACACAAAACATTTTAAATAGTTATAAAATGAATATCTCAGAAGTTTATAAGACAACGAATAAAATAGATAAAAATATAAAATAATGTCAATTATGTGTGTAAAATAAAGACGAGAAATAAGTTAGAATTATTTGTCGATATTTACCAATTTGTTGTAAATTGAATATCATCCAACCATCTTCTTTATATGGTAATGATAATTTCAATGGTTCTAGTAAACGTTTAATTCCCCATTGCTTGCATAGCGAATAATAAATAAAATTGTTAAAATCGGAAGACGTTTGCGTAGTAAAAGTTATAGGAATGCACTGAATTTTTAATGTGTCGATATTTTCTATCCATACAAATGTTCGGTTCTTAGGATCATCATAATTTCGTACTACTTTAATAAGAGGACAATACTTCTCCGAATCCCAATTTTTCATGTCCCAGATGACGGCAGCAATATTTGGATTTATTGTTGAAACATCTCTCATAAACTCCATAAAGTTTAGATGGCGGAATAAGCTAAATTCACTAAGTATGTAAAATATATTAAAAAACATTACAAAATATGTTAAAATTGTATGTATAATGTTCATATTATAAAAAAATTTAATAATACTAAGAAACAAAATATAAAATTAAATTCCCAATTATTTATTTATATATCTTATATTTATATTCTGATAATAAAGAATATAACTTAATTTTAATAAAAATTTAATAATGTTACCTAATTTTTTAGGCATTATTAACATTAATACAGATTATATTTGAGCAAAGTATTGGACAGTGTTATAATATAATCAAAGAAGAAATAAAACAAATAAGAAGTTGAAGACAAAACAAAAATAAAAAAAATAAAGGAAATTGATTTACGAGAAGAAAATAAGAATAAAGAAATAATGAACAAGAGTTATAAGGTTACATATTTGAAACCCTGTTAAATTAGTTTAGAAAACAATTATAACATAAAATGCAATTAAAAATAAACAGATATCATAAGAATTATAAATGATATAAAAAAATAAGGAAACAGTAAGAAGAATAAAATAATTTTAAAAATTATTTTAAAAAATAACATATTATGAGATCAAAAATAAAACACAATATATATGTATATGAAAAAGTGATGATGATAAAACAACACTTTTTTTCTACAGAAACGGTTTTCATAGGAAAAGTAATGAAATTAAAAATAACATTAGTAGAAGATCTAGAAAAATAGCGAAATTGTAACATTAAGAACAAACATGAAATAATATTGGAAGAAACGAAAGAAATAAGGGACATTATTTAAAACTTATATTATTATACATTATTTACGTCGCACAATTTTATTTTTTGATATTATATTCTATATTGTTTTGGAAAAATCGACCAAACTAGTAGGTAAAATCGTTTATTTAAATTTCACGACATTTCAACCATATGGTTGTGGTCCTCTTCAAGTGCGACTACAATAACTATTTAACATATTATTATTATTATCAACGAACACTAGTATAAATTTCGCAATTGGAAACGCACGTAATATTTACAAGTAAAATTAGTAATAATTAACTCATCATACAGCACTTAAGGTCGTGTAAATAATCTTACTTAAATATATTAGAATCTGACGATCCTTGTTTTGAGATATGTTGTCGCTGTCTCACAATTTCAATTTAATTATAATTTTGACTTGTATAATTTTACTATAAATTGATATTGATTGTTGCTGTATGATGAGTTAATTATTACTAATTTTACTTGTAAATATTATGTGCGTTTCCATTGCGAACTTTATATTAGTGATACTAATGAGTGAGACCACAACCATATAATCGAAATGTCGTGAAATTAAATAAACGATTTTACCTCCTAGTTGATCGATTATTTGTAAAACTCATATTTTAATACTAGTGACTGTCATTAATAATTGGGAATTTATTCTATATTGTATTACTCACTTGTTATCTAGATATGTGTTTATGCCTATCTGAAATATTTCTTCTGTAAGACGTGTTGCATCATGCGCAGTATAAAGGTGCTACGATTTACATCAAATTATGAATTTGATATTTTATATATATATATATATATATTTACTATAATAGTTACCTTGTAAATATAGTGATTTTTTAAAGGAAAATTATATTGTATATGTATACAAGGTAGTCATCGTGAAATGTTTTGGTGGGTGGGTGGGTGCGTACTTTTATAAAAATTAAATATATTAAAATCCAGATAAGAATTAATTGTTTTCTATCTTTACATTTTTTTTAAATATTAAGAGTTAAAAATTTATGCGGACTATTTAATTATACTACGTACATCTGATATAATTGGGGATTTCCAATGAACTGTTAACTTTTAAAGTAAGATTCCACATATGATAATCACTATCCAAATTGAAAGAGTAATGTTGACTTTGAACAACAAATAAATTTATTATTCGATAATCTGGATATTTCTGTAGAAAAAAATAATTAATACATCGATATATCCGTTCTGAAGAGATACTTGCATTAAATACAAATACTGATATTATTAACGTTACTTTATTATTAAAACGAAACACTCTCATTTTGAGAAACACATTAAAATAAATATAATAATAAAATCTAAAATTTTGTATTACTATAATTAGCAAATATTACATATTTTTAAATTATTGTCTCAAGATATTATATTGCAGACTCCTTTTTATCAAATATTTAAATAAATATCATGTGTACTGCGTGTTTTTGATTAATTTATTTTATTTTAGATTTTATAAAAATTTAGAAATATCTAATAAAGTAATGTTAATAAGTAAAAATTTTAATAACTTAAATTTAAATATGTAAATATGTAAAAAAAATATTTTTCAAAAAGGATTTGATTATTCTATATGTATAGTGCTAAATATTTTTAAGACAATTCACAAAGAATGCGTATAGATTTTGTAAAAAGAGTTTGATTTAAGAAAATTTTACAATATGTGAGTTTAAGTATTGTATTGTTTGCGAGAAATTAGAAGCGAGATAGCATTGAAAATATTTCGAATAACCTTATTTACAGCATACGTGGCAAGCAATATAGTAAGACCTTTTTTAAACGAAAAATCCCAAACGAACGGATTGTTCATCATGTTATTGAACAATTGCTGTGTCACTTTACGTCCTATTAATTGAGCTACTTCGATTTTGTGAGCAATAGGATGTACATTTTTATCGTAGATGATATCTGTTTCCCTAAAAGTTATATTTAAATGTTAAGACTAAAAATTTTCATAGAAAATATAACTTTCTTTCTATTACAGTATTTTAATTTAATTGTTAGATGTACGACTTACAAACTCATGGGTATAATTTTGCAAGTCAATATTGTAAATTGTACTAAATAATATTGTTTTAATTTTTTAATCTACAATATAAAACAACGATAAATTTCTGTTAACGTATATATTGTTGACGAAAAACGATAGTTTGAAATAAATAAAAAAATGTCATTTTTTATAGCTTCATTGCAGTTTTAACATTTACTTTAGGGGGTACGATTTAGCATATATATTTTAACCTTTATTTATTTATTACAACAGTAAACTTTAATATTGTAATAATTTGATCAAACTTAATTGTATTAAAATTGCTTGTTTTCGCAATTCCTTACACTTTTGAACGTTTACAGAAACAAAAAACATACATATATTTAAATTCTAAAATTTTGCAAATTAATATAATTTTATTTTCAATGTAATTTTAAGCACTTGTACTCACTTATAAAACACAAGTCCAAAAACTATTGTGTCATCGTCATGGAAATTTGGAATTGCAACATGAGTCACGTTCGAAATTTTGTCCGAACGTTTCCATTTACTTTTAAAAGACAACGTGATATCTTCAGCTACATTTTTAGCAAATTCCAAGTGAAATAGAGATTCAAATCTGCACCACATTTGAATGTTTTGTGTTTTTATATCAAGAAGGAATAGGTAGTTAGATATAACCATCGTTGCGTGATGAGTCAATATTACAGGTATGGTATCGTAGTGTCTCCATACTAAATTGTACTCATCTCTTTCCGTATTTCGCAATGGCATATTTGACAAAGTCGTGCAGTAATGACATGCTAAAGAAATGTTAAAGGTTGCTTCTAACCGTAAATCATGTGGATGCCAACATGGAAACACTTGTCGGGCGTCTACTATCTGAAAATGTGGAGCACCTACCCAACTACATTTCAAAGAACATAAATAATGAAACTTTTTTCACAAGCATAAAAATAAAAAATGGAAATTAAAAAATGTATAAATGTTATATGCGTCGACACATTATATTTTATGACTTTATTACTTATTATTATAATAATAAAGGTAAAGATTGTTCACCCTTAGATTTAAATTCCGCGATATATAATAATTTTTGGGACATTTAATACATGATTAGTATATTAATTACAATGTCTTATGTAGTTGTATATTGTACTCTTTTTAACAAACATTTATTATTTACTTACGTAGCTTTTTTTTTCATGTCGAAAATTCTGAAGCCTTTATCAGCAATGCCAAAATATTTTATATTTAAAGTGTAATTTCCTGGTGATAACTCATCCATAAATGAAATATCAACTGTATTCTCTTCAGTATTATACGTAGGTTTATAAATTATATTATTATCATTTTCATGATATTTTTTAAAATTTGTAATTAAAACTATATTGTCAATACATAATTTTTCCGAATATAAATATATGTGTTGCGTTTTGTGAAGAATGTTTATGCTGATATTGTATTCTCCATGGAAAATATTTGCTTCAATAAATGATGTAAGCTTGATATCGTAATGCATTGGTTTTATATATTCTGATGGTCGATAACATAAAGATTCATTACGAATGAAAGCTGTTACAGCAATAAAAATTAATCCGCTATTTAATAATAGTTTTAGAAATATCATTATGTCGAAGAAAAAGAATATTTATTTATGATCTGTAAAACACTCTGTGGACAAAAGATAAATAAAGAATTTAAAAGCTTAGATGTCTTTTTTAAATGACTCTTGTACATAAACAATTAAATTCAAAAAAGTATTAAAATTATTATTGAAAAACCATCCTAATTAGTAAAATACGGTGAGGAAACAATGTGCAAATTTTCATTTGCACAATTTTTTAAAATAAAATTATAAATGTGTATGGCAGTGTCGCACATATTTTAATTGATAGCAGTATAGAAATATTAAATTTAAACATATTTTATATCTTCTTTAAATAATGATTCTCATTGTCAAAAAATTATATATATTTAAAATTTAAACAATAATATTTAGAATATAAAAATTTATAGTATATAAAGTTATTTAGCTGTCTGAAGTGAATTACTTTTATAAACACAAGAGCCGTTGTTTCTACATACATATATATCTGTGTGTACATTCAAAATAAGAAGAAGACAGTATAAGAGTAAGAAAAACTGAGAAGCGATGAGAAAGAGAGAGAGAGAGAGAGCACATGTTTACTATTATGTTCCTCTAAAGATCTGGTTGATTTTATCTCTTAAATTATATGTAATAAGTTTTAAACGAACATTCACCGAGAATAAAACCAATATAATTTCAATTTCAATTTGTGTAAATTATACGCTGGATAATAAAATATAAGATGTCCAGAACGAGCAATAAACCTGTTAAAAGCAGATACCTGAGATCATTTAGAAATTTTTCTCAACAAAAATGTCGAAGTACCAATGAATATCGAGTTATAAGAAATTGAAAATAAATGGTGTTTCGCAAACTAAGCCTTGTGGAAATAAAATATTAACAAAATCACATTTGTCCATTAATATCGAATCAAGTTTACTGTTATTGAAATTTTAATTTAAGGTTTAATTACAAGATACGTGATGATGGCAAATTTGGGAACATAAAAATAATGTTAATTTACCTCGACATTTTTGCAGAGGAAAAATTGACTCCAAATAATCTCAGAAATTTACTATTGACAGGTTTACTACTATTTCTGGGATTCCTGTATATATAATGGCGTTTTTAGATATTTCAGATTAAACGTATCAAAATGGATGTGATTAATGATTGCTTTTAATCTATTAATATTATGGATTTCTTCATTCAATTGACAATTAGTATGTCCTCTCATTATATTCGATAATGTCTAATTAATAAATAATTATTAAAATGATCTCTAGATTAAAATTAATGGTAATTTAAAAAAAACTATTTTCTTTATTCCTATATATATTTTGGAAATTCTTTAAAATTCCGTTATACTGTATGATTAATTTTTTTGTATTTGTATACATATATATTTTTATTTTTAAATTTATTTTGACTTACCCAATATTTCAAAACAGAATGTTAATTGGAAAATTATATTGATTAAAACTATATTATTTTAAAAATTACCTGCAGTAAAATTAATGCTTTAGCAGTATGCGCAATGTTTGAAGAATATAATTATTCACACACACTTTATTACACAAATATTATCTCTACCACGATGTGGTTTGAAAGACCACGAAAGACTGACTGATTCTCTATACGTATCATGATAAATATAATGTGTTAGGTCAACAAAACTTCTGAGGTATATATATATATATATATATATATATATATATATATATATATATTTATATTTATACATTTGTGAGCGGCATTTTTGTGTAACAATTTTTTTAATTGAGTACATCCAAATTATGTCCAATTAATCAAATGAATATGCATCGTTTACAAATTTATATTACTCATTTCGAAAACTATTTGCACAAAAAATATGATGTAATATCTCGTAATATACTTATTGCTTTTAATAATTTTATTTTAATAATGTTCTTAATTTTATAATTTTAATAATTATCTGAATAATTTTTTATAATTCTATTTATCTTATTCATATTAATTATTATTAATGAAAATTAATATTCGCGATACCTTCCTTTGTACAGCATTTCATTGGTATCAATTTTAATTATCAATTAAAATATTAAATCAGCCATTGATCCCTTTCTAAAAAAGGCATGTTATTTATTCTCGAATATCTCGAAGTATTGTTACCTTCAATCCGCGATGTCGATTGGTTCCGTCAGCGTTTACTTCGTGAGCGGCTGTCATTGCGTATTTGAACAGTTGTATGTTGTATGTATCGAGGGGTTAGTGTAGTGATAGTAAACTATATTAAAGGATTTGGTGTATCTAATAGTTATAAAATTTGATAAATAAGTGTTTATTAATTTTGTGATTGAGTGGTTTTGACTACAGTTTCTCAGTTAGAAAGGGAAATAGAAATTTGGTGAATTAAAATTACGTATATATAGAAATTCAGTTAATTTAGATTATGTACATATTTCATATAACAACAAAGGAAATCGATAACAATAATACTACCAAGATTTTAAAGATAATTGAAAATTTAAATAATAATATAGAAATAATGAATGATACAAACACAAAATTGCTATATTCGATTAGCAATAATATTAATACTGAAGACAGTTATATTCCGAAAGAAGTTTATAAAACACTTGATACTAATTTAACGAAACTTGTAAAAAAAGATGGAAAGTACAAATTCTGGAATTCAGTCATTAGGTATGTCAAATCGATCTTTCTTTCGAGAGTAATAAGGAAAATAATAGCTTCGTGAATTTAGAAAATAAGTTGGATATTATTAATATAAAGTCTAGCACAAAGATTATATCAGTTAAAAATTATACTCCTGTGTTGAATAAGTGAACTGACAAGAGAGTAGAGAAACCTTTGAGGGAATACCTGGCTTTAAAATCACGTATGAGCTGTTTGCTAACACTTAATATTAAACTAAATATAAATTTAGTTGTTTACAATCAAATAACGATTGTTTGCATTCTGAATCTGGCAGTGCAAAAGCTTGCTTTTCGGGTAAAATACTTGCAGTACTTTATAATTTATATGATGATTAGATACCCAATTTTATGTATTATATCAATCGATTGCTCTATTTTAGGATTATTTTTAAGACTAAATATTTTTCTTGTCTAATATTTTTATATTAATAGCATAAATGTGCAAAACAAAAATATTATTCTGTTTTTCTTTTATTTATCTTTTGTTTATAAAGCTGTGTAAAAGAGAATTCTAACTGTAAATGAAAAAAATTCTATTAGGTACAATTTCAGTTATTTACATAATAGAAATACGACAAATTAAAATTATGTGCATAATAGAAATTCAAGAATTAAAATTATGAACATAATGGAAAATCAAAAATTAAAATTATTTATATAAAAGAAATTTGGCAAATTAAAATTATGTACAATTGCGGAGTAAAAATTTGTTTAGCGCGCGCTTGTGTTATTTAGTTTCTTTCTAAAAAAACATGCAAAGTCGATTATCGCAAACATTGTTGCTACTTTTCCGCGATGCTGATTATAGTTGTCTTGCTTAACATTGTATGTTTTATTTATAGCATCAAACAACTGCTATCGTAAAAGTTAATAATTTAACAGTTGTAAAATAGAAAATTAAAATAATACCAATAACGAGCACAAAGCACGCGCTTGTGTTGTCTAGTCAATTTTAAAAATGATTTGTTCTAATAAAACAAAATATTTACATTACTTTTGAAAAGACGATCCTAATTAATAATTACCTCCTATAAACAATACAAAAATAATATTACTGACATAAATATTTAGTAGAAGTAATAACATAATTTATTATGGCACTTTTATACATTAAGTCAAAGAATTATTTAAATATCAATATAAGATCAAAAGATCAAAAAATATCTCATAAGATTTTATTATTTGACATTTTCAAATTTGCCAAGTTTAAGACTGAAATGAAAAAAGTCAGAACTCGAAAAAGACTAAGACTTGCAAGACATTGTATTCTGATTAATCTTCCCTAAAGAGTAGAAATCGAAAAGAAGCTTTTACGTGGAATGTTTACAGAAGGCTTTAAATGTCTACGGAAGGTATTTAAAAAGAATTGTTTAATAATTAAAAATAAAAGATATAAACTTATTGTTAGAACTCGCGATTAAAAAAAACTCATTATACCTAGAATAGAGATAGGAATACATGATTGTTTGATTGAGATCTTTATCTTTAGAAAAGGATTGAGAAGAAACCAGATTTTGCAGTCAATGTGAAAAATATTAATTTATAAAAGTTAATAAAAATATATATATTTAATAAAAACGTTAATTAAATATATTTATATTATAATAAACTATTTTTTAAGGTATAAAAAGAACTTAACCAATTATTTTAAACTTTTGAAATATTTTTTATGTATTATTTTGCTATTTAGATGTTAGGAGGTTTGAAATATTAATATTGTTTTATTATACAACATCAGACAAAAGTTATCAGAATTTTTGAAAGTCAATGTAAGATAAAATTTTGTATTTTCCTAATTTTTTACAGGAGAAACTGGAACAAATAATGGATTAATTCCTTATGCGTTTTAGTCAAGTTCTTTATTGACAATAAATTTTAAATTTTTGATATGATAAACAATTATTTATAATCGGACAAATCCGATGTTAATTACAAATATCGTTTATATATAATTACAATAAGTCTTATACAAGTTTAATACATGGCAAAGTGTAGTATAGCACATTTATTATTTATGTATACAAAAACATAGTCATGATATCGCTTAATAATAATATATTTCATTATAGTTTGTCAAAATATATATTTATGCCATACATTTTTGTTACGCGCAAAGAAAGCAATTTTAGGTACTTTAAACATTTACGCTCAGGAATATGTTTGATATGCATTAAATACTCATTTTGAGAAAAATCGTAATATTATTATATTTAAAACTGTCACAACTGAGATACGATTTGTAAATAATCGAGTGGATAGAATCGCTTCTGAATTTCATCCAACAAATGGTTTGTCTAACAATATAGAATACAATCATATGTCATTTTTAAATTGTTATACATGCCAAATTAAAGTTCAAGAATATAGCAAGTATAAAAAAATTATAAAAATTCGAGTTTAAGGGATATTATATTTTAAAATAGTCTGTATTATATATTTTAAAGTAATCTGTACACAAAATAAATCCCACGACGTTTGAATAAAATATATATATATATATACACACAAAAAAAAATATATATATATATATATATATATATATATGTTCCCATTCGCAGTATATATTACAGATGTACATAAAGTTTTCTGAATTACTAGAGAGATTTCACCCTCATGTACGGATTATTTTGTCATATATAATTAATACATGCGCAGACTTCTTGCACATGATCGTTTTATATATCACAGCCGCCCTTTAATTTAAGGATGTATAGGAGATACAATCAAAGGACTAATATACCAAAAAGCACGCTATTCATTTGATAGTAAATTGATTAATTTCTAAAAAAACTTTAATTTTCTAACTTTTAGTTGTTTCTAGCGTTGACACATCGAAATTTTTACAAATTATTATTTTCTTTTAAACGGTTTAGGAAATATTGATGTAATTTTGCAACATTATTCCTTAAAGTATAAAAATTATACATGTAAAAAATTTAAAATACATGGTACCTTTTTTCGATATTTTTAACGTAATATACAATTTTTATAAATTTTGTATCATTTTTAGATATCTTCCATACATCCTTAATTAATTAATTTCTGCAAAGTAATTAACAGCAATCAACCAGACAACATAAGTGTCTCAAAGATAATTTGTTTAAAAATTTCTTTTTAATAAATTTATTTATTTCTGCAAGCGTGGTGCGATATAATTTATTGGTTTGATTATAATTGTTTTTAATTTTAGAAGTATTTGAATTAGCAAAAATAATTTCCTTTTGATATTGGTAATTATTAATAAGGCAATATAGTATAGGTCTTTTATGTATGTGTGAGTACTTTGTATTTTAAAATTATTTTATTAATTATATTTTATTAAAGTCAGTCTTGGCGAGTATAACATCGTATATTAAAAATTCTGCTTATTCATATAGTGTACCATGTAAAAGTTTAGTTTAAACGTGACGCGCCTAATATGATTAGTTTGAGAGTGCTCGAATATATATTTCTATCTTTATATCGTAATATTACAAAGCTCGAAACGCGAAAAAGAGATTTCATAATCGCAATAATTTTGAATAGGATACCATATACAACGAAAAATTAAAAGTTGATTTTTTAACATGTCAGTAATTTTGCAGCTACATATTTTGTTCAAAATTATTTTGTATATACAATTTATTAATATATGTATTATATACATATATAATTTATTTTTTTACAATAACATCATAATTATTAATATAGAAATCGATGTGAATTTGTACAAACAAACGTTTGCGAATCTCTTATTCAATTAGTTCGATTGTATATGTATATATATTGATAGAATATAATTCAAAATAAGGGGTCCAACATTTTTTTTGTACGTGTCAATCATAGATTAGAAATTTGATACAAGCTCTACGAAGCTAACTTAATAATTATATTATCGTGGAAAATATTAAAGATATGTGAGAAAATGTTTTAAACAAAAGTTCTATATATTTACAGTAATCCTGCATTTTTCCAAAATTATATTTTTTTAACTACTTTCGAGATTCCGGTAGTTCATTAATGCTAATTGGCCAGTTGAACACTAGGACTCTTATTTGATTGGTCGATCGTGCTGATTATTATATCCTAGATACTGGTCGACATATAGTATATATGAATGTGTACTTTTTTTTTTTACAACGAGATCCCCTTTTTTCTTCTCATTAATACCCGATTTAATTAGTATATTAAATTTGCATCGTGCTGATTATTATATCCTAGATACTGATCGACATATAGTATATATGAATGTGTACTTTTTTTTTACAACAAGATCCCCTTCTTTCTTCTCATTAATACCCGATTTAATTAGTATATTAAATTTGCATGTATATATATTAAAAATATTAATTTTTAATATATAATATATAATATATTATTATATAATTTAATATATAATATATTTAATATATTAAAAATTAATATTTTTAATATATAAAAATATTCGCGCGACACAGTTTAGTTTTTGAAGTAAAGCGTGAGTTATAGGTCCCTTTCCTAAAATATTCCTTTCCGCAATTTTTCTTGCAGCATCGGCGTTTCTAAAATTACGATCCAACAGTTTTCGTGTAGTTTCTCGGTGATATATCACCGATTAGCGCGTTTGATCATTCCTACTAATACGAATATGCTGAATATTTTAGTTAATTTATGCATCCAATATAATCTGCAATACATGTTATTAATAATTAACTTATTTCTCTCGTATCCAGATATCATACATATCTTGTAAGCAGTGGTTGTGCTTAGATGATTTAAAAATTAGATAAAGATGATTTTGTTTTAAATATATCTAGATAAAAGATAAAATTATATGACGATCCATCTAGATAATATTCTAGATAACAATTTCTAAGACTGTTTAGATAAACACAGTTATAAAAATATAAATTATAAAAGGGATATAAAAATATATGTATTCATATTTTTATTTATAAATTTTTATCGCTTACTTTTTAAGTTCTATTATTTAAGTATTTTTATGTACTATAATTCTAAATCAAAATTATCTGAAAATTATTCTAGATAATTTAGTAATACTTTTTCTTCATCTAAAAAAATGTAGGGTAGATAATACATATTTTTATCATCTATATAAAGATAAGATGACGCCAGCTTCATCTAGATGATCATCTATATAATTTTATTTAGATAAGAGCAAACACTGCTTGTAAGTGTGAATATGATGAGGAATATAAAAATTTAGCTGAGACTTACCTCGATAAACGATTTCGAGCCTTATTTAACGTATCCGGATTGTCTTTCAAAATATATTTTCTAATTCCCAACATGTACTGATGCAAATACACGTCCCAATCCAAATTTCTAATATCTATGTTGAAGTCGTTGCAATCTCCCGAAGCGCTTACAAATTTCACTAATTTCATCATGTTCTCCGCGCAGAATTTCCACTCGTTCATTGCGAAGAATTCTCCGGTTTTAGCAGCGCGTTCGAAGCGTTTGGTGATTTTCATCATTCTGAAAAAGACGGTGGGTCGCGAATTATTATTGTACAGGGTGTCCCAGAATTAGCACAGCACCTGGGATCATTTGAAGACAATTTTTTCTTCAGCAAAAATGTCTAAGCACCAATAATTTTCAAGTTATAAGAGATTTGAAAATAAAGAATTTTTTATTAATTAATCCAAATAGCAAGCGTACATCACTCTGATATCGAATGACGTCATTGAACGTCAAAATGACGTAAGTTTGCTACTTGCGTTCATTTTGACATCAAATAACATCCCAGATAGCAAAAGTAGTGATTTTGACGTTAAATTACGTCATTTTGACGTTGCGACGTCATTTTGACATCTAATGATGTCAGTTTGCTACTTGAGAAGCCGTGTGGAAATAAAATATTAACAAAACCACATTCTTCAATTAATTTCAAGTAGTAGAGTTTATTTTAATAGAATTTTAATTTAAGGTTTATAGTTAAACACAAAGATACATGATGACACAAATTAGGAATATGCAAAAAAATAATGGTTTCTCTCTCGACATTTTCGCTGAGGAAAACTCGTCTTCAAATGATCTCAGGAATCTGCCATTAAGATGACCCGTTAATTCTGGGACACCATATATATAAATAAAATTTTTTTCTCGTGCGTATGATTAAAACTTTTAGAAAGCACTTACATAGGTTTGCAACCTTGGACTCTTAATACAAGATCTACGATAAACGCAGGTAAGAAGTGCAACGTGGCTACCATAATAGCGTGAATAAATTTGTTCGTCCTAAACGTAAAGCCCGGGTACCACATCACGTATTTCGACGGGGACAATATAGCGTGTTTTCTCGTAAGATATCCGAATTCGCGCCAGCTGCGAAGAAATCATATTTTTCGTTACTTCACGTTCTTCATCATGTCTATGGTATCTCGTTATCAGGGTTGCTAAATTTTTATAAGCAACTAAAATTAGTTAAGTTAAAAATTTGCATAAACAAAAAATTAACTCAGTTAAAGTTAAGTTAAGATTAAATTAACTAAAGTTAAATTTCAAAAATTACTTTTTAAAAACATTATTTATTTTAAAATAGAATTTGATTTGTTAATTCTTTTAAAATTTATAATAACAAATAACAAAGAAATTTTTATTTTTATATATAGAAATATATTTTTTGGTAATTACAATTAATAACAAATAAACATAAAAATTAATAATACTTAAATTTAAAAATAATACGTTTATAAAAAACAATAATCGTATTGAGAGATAAACAAATTTAATTTAGAAAAAAGTTAAGTTTAAGGTCAAAAATAACTAGTTAAAATTAAAAATTAATATTAGACTAACATTTTAAATTAACTAAGCTAAGTTATTAAAAGTTATTAATCTTTTAATTTTTTTTGAACTTTTAACTAATTAACTTGTTATTAACTAATCCTGCTCGTTATTCATTACTCACGTAATCGGGTGCGTTGCGCTGCTGGTGCAATTGTAAATCTTTATCGTATCGCTACGTTGCATAGCGTTATGCCAGGATGCGCATATTATAGTATCGACAACAAAATCGACAGGTACAACGTCTACTACTAAATTTGCGTTACACACGATGCTCCTAATAGTACCTCTACTTATCTCCGTCATTATACCTGTCAAAAATGAAAGTCTAACATATGTAATGTACACCCCAGATAGCAAGCATACCTCATTTTCACGTCAAAATAATGTCATTTTGACGTTCAATGACGTAAGTTTGCTACATATGTCTATGAAATTGAATCTATTAATATAGAAGAAAATCAATTAATTAGAAACGCTCGTTTCTTTTTAGACAATTTAAACTTTAATATGTCTTATTTTTTATTATAATAACTTTATGAAAATTAAAAAATGCATTTTATAGGTAACGAACAATATATTCATGATACCTGATCAGAATTTCCAGATAACATTAATTTTTTTACAAAATAAATCTCAAATATTGCAGAAAAGACATTCTTTATTTATTAAATTTCAATTATTTAAGAAATCTGACGTGCTAATGAAAATTAGCTGACGACATCATTTTTCTAGCATTTAAAAATTTATGAAAATCACCTTGTCTCGTTTAAAATAAAATAAATTTTTTTGTAAACTAGTGTTATAGTACAAGTTAAAATCAGTATAAAATTTTCTATCGTTTTACGATCTTGCAATAAATTAATGAGAAATTAATTAAAAGAATAGAAGCGCGAATTTGATTTAATGACTGTACCTGTGATACCGCAAACATTATCTATCCAGCCTGGAAATGGTTCTTGATATGCGGCACAGACTATACTCGGTCGTACAATCGCGATCGGTAAACCGCTTCCCTTGGACAGTATAATTTGTTCTGCCAAACCTTTCGTTAGCGTATAGGTATTTGGATGATTACCGATCAGTCTCTTCTCTATTATTTCTATCGTCTCGTCGTCCAAATTTTCGCACATATCGATTACTGTATACGGTTTTATATCTGTGCTGTAACATTAACAATATGTTATTATTACTATAAGGATATTTCTAAATAATCCAAGTAGTAAACTGAGGTCAGTTTGCTACTTGGATTATTAATGGATTAAAATGACGTTATTTTAACATTTAATGTCGTCCTTTTGACATTTAATGACGTCAATTGACGTATTGCTACCTGGAATCCCAGATAGTTACAATAATTATTATGACATCATTTGACATCAAAATGACACCAAAATGATTATTTTTATTATTTGGAAAATTGAATATTTATTCGCGCATATAAAAAATGAACTTAATTTTGTAGAATGCGATTCATGTCGTATAAAAAGAAGTGTATAGTTTCGAATATCATGTCTTCAGGTAGGATTGAGAGCGAGAAATATTGAATATGTACTTATAGCACCCCCTACTCATTAGAAGTTTCACGCCCGAGTATCGCACATATATTACATATATTTAATGCATTCTTGTCAATTTTTTTACTTTTACGATTTTACGATAAATTAGTTTAATCGAAGATATTTTAAGGTTTCCGTTTGAACTTAGTTAGGTATAGCAAACGTAGGTCATTTCGACGTTTAATAACGTCAAAATAACATCATTAAACGTCACTGACGTTGACGTTTAATGACGTCAGTTTGTTATTTGGAAAGTCTCATAATATTTGTATCTCTTATGTATAATTAAGACTTACGCATATATCGATTCATCGATTTCTCGTCGATCGGCATTACTGTAAGCCGTGCTAACATGAATGACGCTAATGAGGTTTGTCATGCGCCTGCACAAGTCCAATATGCGATCTGTGCCTCTTGTGTTCAGATTAACGGCTACCTTTAATGACTCGTTGAAACGTACGGTGGCCGCGCTATGAAAAACAATATTAACACGTTGTATCAGCATATCTCTGTCTTCGGGCTGAAGTCCCAGATCCGGCAGGCCCACATCGCCCTTTACAGGGTAGATCTTATTTAAGACACCAGGAAATTCTGATCGTATTCTATCGAAAACCTGCGAAAACAGAGAGGGAACAACCGTTCTAAATAAAATTATATAGATGATTATTTAGATGAAGTTTTGGCGTGATCTTATCTTTGTAAATATAGATAATAAAAATATATATTAGTTATATCTGTGTGAATTTAAGATGAAAAAAGTGTTACCTTTACTAAATTATCTAGGATAATGTTCAGATAATTTGGTTTAGGACCATAGCACATAAAAATATTACTTAAAAAAGTAAATGATAAAAACTTTTAAATAAAAATATGCGAATGTATTGTATTTTTATATCTCTTTTACAATTTACATATTTTCTATAACTGTGTTTACATAAGCGGTCTTAAAAATAATATTATCTAAAAGTTATCTAGATGAATCGCTATATAATTTTATCTTTTATCTAGATATATTTAAAGCTATATTTAAATCTAGATATATTTATATATTTAAATCATCTTTATATTATCTAAGATAAATTTACATCTTATCTTTATATCTAGCTAATTTTAAAATCATCTAGGCACAACACTGTATATAAGAAATATGTAAAAATGTACGTAGAAAAGAGATAAAAATATTATTTTCGGGATCTCTCAATTTGTTAAGTCATTTTTATAAGATTTTTCTCGTTACTTGGATAAGTGAGAGGTTCCGGAAATAACATTTTTTCCTAAAAATAATATATATGCTATTAATAGACCTAACTTCGTAGCGAATAATCATCAGAAAAAAATCGTGAGAACAGTTACAATCGCGACCTTTCGTCACACGTTTCAATGATTATTTGACACTTCAAGTATAATTACGCCATAGGTAAAATATTTAAATCGTCTTCTCTATAGAAGAGGCCTATATACAGTCAGAATCAATATTGCATTAATTTATCATACGCGTATATACTATTATACGCCTTTATGAAATGTCAATCTAACGTGAATCTAGAGCAAAATTCATTTATAAAAAAAAATTCTACGTTACACTATCTAAAAAAAAAAAATTGGAGAGTTCTTTTTTTTCTAATAATCTTGTAATGTAATAAGTATACATATCTACATACAGGATTTTCCAGTAATTCCTTGAAGCGGTCTTCGATGGTTTGGGTCTTTTTTGGACGGATTAGAACGAAAATCATGGCCACACGAGGACACGAGCGCAGCAACTTTTCCAGGAGGGCTTTCCCTAGGAAACCAGTGGCACCGGTTAGAAGAATCACCGTTTCGGCGAAGAATGTGTCGATTGAACTTCCCCTCGAGTGGGTCTCATCGTGTGCGTGTCCCGAATTGGTTTGTGCATTAGTCGTTCCCATTTTGATATGCGTTTCAAACTTTGCGCAGAATCTATGAGAAATAATATATATTAATATTAGTAAGAATAGTTTCAAAACAAAGTTTTATATATAACTATAGTACAATAATGTACTTGAATATACATATACACAAAAAAAAAGAAATCAACACTTATATACTCGTATATACGCAACAATATTTATAATTTTGTTATAATAATTTGCTAAATCTTAAATTTCAATAATATGTAAGGTTGATCGAGATTTTCTGAGAACTAATCGAGGTGCGAATACAAAGAAATGAATCTTCAAATTTATCAGACATCCCAATTCCTTGACTTTTTCAATCATGTATTACAACAATGTATTAAGATATCTGAAAAGTGGCATTAAGCAACATTCACAGACTAAGAGATATTTTTCAAATTTGCATGCTTTCGTTTTGTCATCCGCCATTTTTAATAAATTTATTTTGCCACATTGAAATAAATAGATTTTTTAATCCAAGCTTTATTTTTATTTTTTTTAGAAACATTTCTATCTTTATTATTTACGAAGTTAGCATCATTTAAAATTTGTGATTTTTTTCCAAATTTTAAGTGTACCGCTTTTTTGGAGTGAGTGTAGCTTAACTAAGAAAAATATTAATAATGCGAATACTTATTTAGTCAGCTCTTTTAATTTTTAAAGCCACAATCTCCACTTGATTCCTCTCGACCAATAGAGCCAAACGCGATGTTATTGCGACAATTATGAAGGAAAGAACATTTTGGAAAGGAATTTGAATCCTATGGTTGGGATCTCAAAAATTCCCCCTCTGTTCCTTCTCTTAACATCCCCTGTAAAGAAATAGGCGAGAAAAATATTGGTCCGAAAGTTGGCTGAATCGGGACTCGAACCCGAGACCTTCCGCTTGCCGGGCGACTGCTCTTCCAACTGAGCTATTCAGACACTCACGAATAAATACTTTTCTCAATGTTTATACCCCCCACCCCCCAAAGCGTCGTAATTAGGTCCAGACGCGACGAACAATAATGCGAATACTTATTTAGTCAGCTCTTTTAATTTTTAAAGCCACAATCTCCACTTGATTCCTCTCGACCAATAGAGCCAAACGCGATGTTATTGCGACAATTATGAAGGAAAGAACATTTTTACAGGGGATGTTAAGAGAAGGAACAGGGGGAATTTTTGAGATCCCAACCATAGGATTCAAATTCCTTTCCAAAATGTTCTTTCCTTCATAATTGTCGCAATAACATCGCGTTTGGCTCTATTGGTCGAGAGGAATCAAGTGGAGATTGTGGCTTTAAAAATATTAATCTTATTATTTAAAAATAATTTTCTTAAATGGAAAAGGTAAAATGTTGAATAGAAAATACATATTTTCATATAAAATAATATTTTTTATATTCTTCAGATAGACTATTATAATATCGAAATAATACTAATATTGTTGCATATATATAAAAATATAAGTACTGATTTGATACTTCTTTTCTGTGTACTAAATGATCCATTGTCTTTAAAAAATATAACAAAACATTTTTAGAATTTATTTTACAAGATGATTTATTTAAATCTTAACAGATAATATACGAAAATCACATATTAAACTTTTAGAAAACAAATATATCGGTTAAAAGTTGTAGGATTTTGAGGCAGATATAGTATCTTAGTCTCTAGAATTGTCTTTAGATAACGTTTTTCAAAATCATTTAAAGCTGTACCCAGTTTTTTTAAATGTACCATCTTTTGGTATTTTTTAATGAAAAATTAATTCTCGCAATATTCAACAGAAAAAAATTACAAGATAGCAAAAAAGTAAATAATTTACGAAATATTGTTTACTTTAATTTGACATAATTTGACATAAACTATAAAATATCTCGTAAAATATTCATTTTTCTGTAATCGTACTTTTAAAATAATAAAAGAAGATAAAGAAAATAATCAATATGTACCAAAAGAAAATACATAGTTATTTTTGTACAATAAGCAATAACATAATTTCAGAAGCACAAGGGATGTGATCGAAAAAGCTTCTAGAGAACTTCACAGAAACAAAAATAATTGTATTTCTCAAGAACTGTGCACCAAAGAAACTGTGTTTAACAAAAACTGTATAAAAGACAACACTTAACATATGGCGAAAAAATTCTCGAACTGAGAATTCTTCCATTAAAAATACAGTACACAGACGAGTGAGAAATTTCGCAATCGATTTAATGCGTGACGGAAATAAAATGCGAAGAAGTCTCTGATCTGGAAACTGTGTTCTCAATATGTATTATTCTCTTTATATGCAATTTTTAAATATTCGAAATAAATTCGGGCGATTTTATTATTGTAACCTTTTAAAAAATTTCGCCGGTTGTCATAAATCTATCTTTTTTATAGTCCTTTATATTTTCTGAAAAATCAGGAATTAAATCTGTTTATTGTTTTCTGAGAGTGTCGACTGGAGGGCAGGACCGCCAATTTTAGATAGGGTAAACTCAGATAAGATGACCACAGTTTTTTAAGATGCAAAAAACACTTTTATTTTTGTTGTTTTGTAATAATATTTAACACATTACTTTTTAAAAATTAAAGTGTATAACACTATTGAAATTAAACAATAAATATTTAATAGAAATTTTATGACTATAGTATTTTATGACTATAGTATTTTATAGAATAGTTAACTGTATTTTGTGTTAAAGTAATTAAAAAACTTATAATTTTACATATTTAGTTTTTTTTTATTTTTACATTACATATAAACATTAATATACTTTAAATATAAAATAAAAACTTTGATAAAAAATTTAAATATAAAAATTTTAAATATAATTTTTTAGATTGATTTTTTTTCACTAAAAATAATCTTTACACAATGAAAACAAAATAGAAATAAAATTTTATACCATAAATAAACAAAATACATAATATTTTAATAATTAATATTTTAATAATGAAAGTAGACTATATCTTACTCAAATTGTGAAGTAAAGCCCCTGACCATAGTATTTATAAAAAAAATAGTGAAAACAGGGAAATAAAAATTATGAATTACATTATACTTTATATACATATACTATCATTATGTATCTATAAGGATCTAGATTATGATAGCTCAACTATAATTTATTTGACATTACAGCATTTTTTAGTAGGCATATAAGTACTACTGGAGGAAATCAAAAGTAAGAACATGATATATAACATTTACATTATATTATTATTCCGAATACTATTACGTACATAAACTATTATAAATATCGATTATTTTTAAGAATAATAAAAACGTATTATTTAACGATTATTAGAAAAATTGCAGTTTTTATAGCTATCTTTTTTCGATATGGCCATCATATTTAAGTTTACCCTAGATAAAACCAAATTATTGTTAGATTAGTAAGATTATTCATTCGAATATTTTTTGACAATGTGTATTGAACAATATAAATCTGCAGTAATGAGCAGAGAAATGATTAAAAGCATACGATATAAAGTATAAAATAAACTAATTTTCTAAATAAAAATAGAAACAAATATTAATCCTTTTTTCTCTGTTAATGAATCATCATTATGCAATAGAAGGAATATTTGAACAGGAGCAAGAAAGCTATGCGAAGCTTTGCGCGCGTATACTTACACATATGATTTATGCAATGATTATAGTTGCACCTTGACCTGGAATATCGTAACTTCTATTGTATATCTCGAATCAATATAACCGTGGTGACGGTCATCAACCGACGTCGGAAAAAGCTCTTATTAATATTTTACGAGCACTCAAAGAACACAGTTTCGTGATATAGTTGCAAGCGAAAGGTTATACATGTCGTTTGCGAGCTTATTTTGTTCAGGTGATATTTCTTTATATATTGTCAGACAATATTAAAAATAACAACACTGATATTAGTTTAAAAAATTATATAATACTTGTCGGTTAAAAATTATTTTATTTTATTCGTAATAATAAAATCATGATTGAGGAAATTTATGAAAGCTTTTAGAATTTTTTTCCATGATTTGCACTTCAATTTTTAATGTTGAAGGAATAAACTTTGAGATATCATTCTAAAGTTTGTTTTAGAGAAAAATCGCAATTTCTTCTTATATAAAAAGATACAAACGAGTTTATAATTTATAATAATTATAGTTAATAATTTATAATAATAATTATATAGAGTTTTTTACAGCAATATATAAATTACGCTTATTTAATTTTTATAAAATTTTTGAATCTTTACACAAACAATTTCTAAACAAAAATAAGTTTAAAAGTATTTTACAGAAATCACTATTTAACAATGCATTTCCAGAAATAATGGGAATTTCACAAAGTAATTTCGATACAAATTAATTATTAAATTTTTTAAGATCATAATATATTTGTGAACATATTAATATAAAATGATTATGATTCTGGATTACTTTCTCATGTACAGAGTGTTGAAAAACACTCTGTACATGGTATACTATTTTAAGAGGATTTAATATGTCCAAAAACAAGTCGAAGAGTTTTAGTAAATATTTTTTTACATTTTTTATTTCTATAATTTTTATTTTTTGTTTTAAAATTTTATTTTTGATAAACGTCGCTTAAATAAAGATATTCATATATATATTTTATAAATTAAACTTCGGCTCGTATACAATTAAAATATGTGATATAATAAAAGGCCAACTTAACGAGCTTATATGATATTAATTAAAAATTTTTTTATTAATTTACGTCATAATATACAAAAGATAAGATAAACGTTTCGACTGTACGACAGTCTTTTTCAATATCATGCTAATATGTCAAAAAATTAATTTAGTCATATCGACCTTCTTATAAATACAACATTTATGAGATTATCATATGACGAACGCAGTACAAAATTCATGTTTGTTGGCTAGAGTTAGAGCGTCAGATTTATGTATGTCATGCTGTTATATTATGTAACGACACTGTGAACAAATTAATATATCCGCTCAAATATTACATTTTAGATTTTTAATAAATAGTATTAACTTACTTTTTTGTCACGAACATAACACTTTTTTTAAAAATTA